AACTGTAGTGCCAGGGAGATGCCTCCTCTGTAAGGCCTGGCTGGCACTGAAGGATGGTGATGGGTCGAGAAAGAGCTGTTTTTAACTCCTGGGGCCCCTGCACCAGATATTTGTGGCTTGGATGCCTCCTGCACGTGAGGGCAAAACTCACCCAACTTAAAATGGATCAACAGAAAATGGTTCTTTTCCTAAAAAGAAACACAACTGGAATGAAGTGAGCTGAGGCTTCAGGCAGTTTGATGAAAACAGTTTATATTTCAAGCTTAGAAGGTGGAGTTCTGGTGTGTATTCTTTTCTTGAAACATATATTGGCATTTCTGTTACTGCTCATTGAAGCAATATTGTTCTCCATATGCTCTTCTCATCAGCATCTCATTATTGTTGGATAAATATGTCTCTCATTATGCAGAACATTATTTTTGAAGTATGGAATCATTATTTTGTTACATAACTTCCGAATTTGGACCTTTGCAAAGATTTATAACAATCTTCAAAAATTACTGTAATTAAAGGAGAACTTTCCACAAAGAGAATTAATTAGATCAAAGAAGCTTTTAAATGTAAATCATTAATCTGTGCATTACAGGAAATAGTGACTATGTATAGTTCATTTAATTATACTTGGTTCAATTTTGTTTTCTCATTACATCACAATTTATTCAGAATTAATTTGCAATTTCTTTTCTAATGTGATTTCTGTTTGCTTAATATAGCATGTATTTTCACTAGCATGTATTTATATATAAATAAAAGTTTATTAGTGACTGCTAGGTTAATTAAACTGTGGAATCTGCTGTCAATTATCTGTGAATTTTGTTGCTCTGTGGATGCAACCCAGAAGGTCTGTGCTTTGCGAATGGGAGGTAGAGTGTCAAATAAGTTTTTGAATGGATGAATGTATACAGTAGATTGGGACTGTCACTTACTGGAGGGGACCAGGTGACACAGAAGACAACATGGTTTTGGTTCCCTTGTGGAGAAGAGGAAATTATGAGCTTAAAGTCCATAGCAAGTAATTGGTAATGGAAATGGTAATCTTCCGAGCAGTAATAGGTTGGTGGCTGAAGGTAACCAGGTCTAGATGTGCCATAAGGTTTTAGGATGTAGGGTTTTTTGTGCAAGTGGTTTACAGGTTTTGTAATCTTATGTAATGAATTTGCATAGTGTAAGGGTAGGAAAATATTTATTTTCTGTAATTTAACCTAATAAAAATATTTTTAAATGTCATGGGTTTTTTTGAAGTTGTTTTAATACCTTGACAGTATATTAATATTTATACTCTCTTATCTGTTCATCTGCAGCACTCAAACACTTATATTTTAAAACTTTGCTGGAAGTACATACATTTTTAACTTAATTTTTTAGTAGTAGATTAAATAAGCTAATTTTGAGCCATTCCCCCTCTCCCCCACTTTTAATCAAAAGACTTGATTTTCATTCTGATTGAATTCTGTAGCCAAATTTACCCTAGCCTCAGACTATCCAATATTAGCATCATCTGCGTTGAGTTTGGACTCAGCTAATCTTTTTTGAATCTTTGAACGCTGGACTGTAAGCCAAAACTTAGCTATCCAAGACCACATCTGGCTTGCATAGTATTACCTCATTTGTGTAAGGTAGTGCTCCCAGTTTCTTTTCATTATTTTGTTTTCTGTGTGCTGGAAAGGGGAATTTGATATGAAGGCTGTGCTGGCAACAGAAAAGGTTTTTAAGGAACTTCAGTGATTTCGTTCTCACAGTAGAAGTCGTGGTTCTGGTACATAGCTAGGTACAGTAAATAAGCTAATCAAATAGGAATAAGAAATTCTCAGCCAGCTACGTTTGATAAATGTTTAGGCCCTACTAGCTGTTCTGTCAGGTTTGCTGCATACAAAGGTAGAGTAATATTTATGTTGGTGAATTTCTTAAGATTACTGTTATTTCTTCTAGTGAGTGAAATTACCTCTTACTAGGAGGACTGTTTTGCTACTTATAACAAATGAAATGCTGTCAAAGTTCATGTGGATAAGCAGCTGTTTGCTGAGGAAGGCAAAACAAGCTATTGGTTTGCACTGAGAGAGGAATGTTGTTTTTTGTCTTGCAATTTAGGTATTTTCAACCTGCACTAGTTGGAATGAGATAAATCTTAATAATACAGTCATCTGAGCGGTTTGTAAGAGATTGGATTCGCAATGTGTTTGCTTTGCTTCTATTTACACCTGTAACATAACAGCATGAAATGAATAGTATTTTGTTCTCAGTATTTGTTACTAAACATGTATGCATGGGGAAATAAAGACATTTGGAAATGGGTAACCTTAGGTTAATTAAACCCATCTGCTGTCTGACTAATGACAGTATTACTGTATCCAGGGAATGTCTTATGCTAAAAGATTTGATAATGCACACAAAGTTTTCTAACAAAGCACTCTTAAACCAGCAAGGACTCATGGAACTGGAGAGAAAACCAATCCTAGAGAGTAACTCAGTATTGTAAGGCTGTGTTTCATGTGGGAATGTCCCAGAAGAATATAAGAACCACGTTTGTTTTTCCCTGAGATTCAAAATTATAACTGGCAGGAAAAGTAAAACTTGTTTTTATCTCATGCTACATGAAGTTGTGGTTTATGGGGCTGATTTAAATGGCTGTGTTTCCATGCTTACAAACAGCTAGGATACAAATGATCATTAAGAAAAAAGCTACACAGGGTGCAAACATGAGCTTCAAGTGACACCATGATGGCAGCTGAAGGAAGACAGACTTTTGATTTGTATTGGCTGGCAGTCCAATCCTATACTTCTTATATATATCCTTATATATATACCTCTTATATCCTTATATATATACCTCTTATATATATCTTATACCTCCTTAATACCTCTTTCTAAACAGCAAGCATGATAGCTACTTTTTATTTACATCATTCTAATTCATACCAAGAGGGGGGAAAATAAAGACTTGATACTACAACTTTCATGCATTACACGTTGTATTGATCATAGGTCCTCTTTAGTGTTGTTTGATCAATGATTTTTGTAGCTGTAAGGTAGGTTTTGGCTACTTCCTAATGCATAGTTTCTGGAAAAGAAAATGAAATATGTAGTTTGAGTTTACTGAAATAATTACTTGGTTAATTTGCATTTCATATTTTCATACGCTTGTACAAAACATGGTGTTGGGGGAAACTTGGGACATTCATGGAGGCCTGCGTGCTTTTCAAGGCAACTGTAACAGCATCAGATGAAAAATAGTTTATTCCGTGTTGAATTGACAGATGGGTAAACCAAAACTCTGAGAGAATAATGTTCTGGAATTTAATGTTTAAAGCGTACAAAAAAGAGTGGCTTAGGAGAATTGAACCTAGAGGATGGGCTTGTGTGATCTACGTTGGAGGAACTTGTTTAGGCTTTTTTGTAGTGAGTTGGACGAAGTTGCGCTAATATGTGATTTATCTCAGCTTAAAGCGGGAATCTAAAATAGGTCAGATGAATCGCTCTCTGAAGCGTCTGTTTTTCTCCTCCACATTTAAAGTGACCATCTCAGATATGGACAGCTGAAGTTCAATTAGGTGAACACATTTCTGACTGTCGCATTTTAAGACCCAAGCTAATTATTGCTTTTTGTAGATGCTAAAGACAGTTTGTTAAATAATGCGTTTTAAAAGGGCTTTTTTTATACAGTTGTGCCAGTTTGAGTGTAGAAATTTATGATGTGTTCCTAAACAAGTGTGTCACACGTTAGTACTTCAAAAATGTGGCCTGAAGCATAAATCTGCCATGTATGCTTTCTAGTTCTGCTTCTCTCTTGTGTTATTTTGGCTTGCATGGGGTAGGAACATGCACTCCTATCCCCATACGCAGGGCAAAAGCTGAGCACAGGCTGAATGCTGTTACTTGCTTTGCTCTACAGGGACATGTGTTCACTAGAGAGCTTAGCCGTGAAAGTGCAGAATACATAAGTGAGTTTGGAAATAGTAATTGCCCTAATTTAAAACATTTTCTGTCAAACAATTTAGCTTATTAAACATTTTAAAAAAAATAGTTTATTTTTCTTGTGATCTATAATAAACCTACTTCTACTAGTAAACATTGTAGTGTATTCTGGGAGTTGGTAGTGAATTCCTAGCAGATGAGTTAGCAGATGTATATTCTGTGCAACCACCTATAATTACACAGTAGCTATGGTTACCAGGTTAAAGGAATCATGTCCTGATGATGAACAGAAATAGACTGCAGCAGACTGGTTTGTTTCTTAAAAGCAAAATGCTCAAGCAAAGTTCATGAGGTCTGAGAACATATGAGTAACAAGCGTAAAAGCACACTCCCTTTACTGAACTGGGCAGAGCCTGCTTTTTCAAATCCTTGTTTTGATACAAAATCACAGTATTTTTTTAACGTCTGGTTTTGCTTGTATGTAGTTGGAGAATTGGCACATTCTAGCACATGCAGAATCACAGAATCCTTTAGGTTGAAAAGACCTCTAAGATCATGGAGTCCAACAGATAGTATGTTGCCTGGAAGCATCAAAAGCACTTGAGTGCATTTCCCAAAGGGAGTGCAGATGTTGAGGAGCTCAAGCCATATTGGTTTCAATGTAAAGGGCAAAAGATTTAATTTTTCAAAAGTTTCAAAATGCTTTAGAACTGCAGTGGATTTTGTTGGATTTAGGGCCCTCAATCACATAAGTTTTTCTCATCATGTTGCTCTCCCTCTATGAATTATGAACTATGTATTCTGTATTTAATTGGAACAGAAGTCCTATAATGTCAGTGTATTACAGTGTAAAATAAGATTTTATGGAAAAACACTCTTCCTTAGAGTATGGATGCATTTAGACCTGGTCTTTTACACCAGGGAAGCTTTCCTAGGGATGCCAGTTGGATCAGTGTGATAGCCACTTTAAATTCTAAGCATATTAAGACTAACACTTTGTGCCCGATCTTTCTTCATTTTGTAAGCCTAGCTTACAAATTCACAGCTATGAGAGTGTACTCAGTGGGTCTGTTCACCTTGTTTTGCAGAATAACCAACCATGACTACAGAATCAGGATCGGACTCCGAGTCCAAGGATAAAGAGCAGGATCAGCAGGAGAGCCCTGCGCAGCAAGGGGCAGCAGAGACCCAGCCGCAGGACCAGCAGCAGCAGGAACAGCAGCCAAGTGAAGAACCTCAAAACGCACTCGAGCAGTTCTCAGCTGTGGCAGCACACAGCACACCAGTGAAAAAGGAGCAGGTAAGGGAGCCTGAGCATGCAAGTAGCTGTGCACCCACTTAACTGCTCCTGGGAAGTAACAAGTCTGGTATGTTAGGAGGGGAAATATATATTCAGTGATGCATGGAAGGGTGTTTGATGTGGTGCTGTAGATCTTGGCTGGCTGGCCTTTTGCATTTAAAGAATAATAGTTCTCACACAGAATGTTTTGAAGTTCATGGCAGGTATTTCTGCCTGCAGTGCTTAAATATAAGGGTAGTCTCATTAACTAAGCAGGAAACATCTTCGGTCTTGCATTTGTGTTAGATAGCACACAGTGTCAGTTTTTATGAAGCTGAAAATGTTTTCAGAGTTCATTTCTTTTGACACCTGCTGAACACTGATTTCATGCTTGCTTGTCTGATGTGTGAGCCATGAAGTCTGTGGTCCCTTAAGTTTCTCATGGTTCTGGAATAACTGCATTATAATTACTCGAACTATTCATGTAATAGGTTTCAGAAGAGCTATCGCGTGCTTTTCCATTTGGTTTATTGTAGCACTTATTAAATTTGTGGAAGCTGCTTTCTTCTTCCCGTTAATAATTTCCAGTCAATAGAATTAACAGACATTGTTCTTCATGGGTAACTGACCCACAAATAATGAGGTACCTGCAAATCACTTCACTTAGCTCCATAAGGTTATGACCCTCATCTGATCACATTCACCTTTGGAGAGTCAGTCTAACTCCTCCTCTCCTCCATCCTTTAAAAAATTTCTGGCTGTTTGAACTGGGCTCCTGTTATTTTACCTGGCTGGAAGAGACAGTGCTGGTGAAGCAAGCAGATGTAAGGTGTTACTTAAAATCAGTGTGAGTGCTCCTCTAGAAGCTCTCTGGGGCTGGCTGTGGTCTTGGGTTTTAAGCTTTTTTTCAGAAAGCTACAGCCCAAACTTAGTGTTGGTGTGGAAAAAATGAGCGTATGAGCAATTTCAGATACAAAATATTTTTGTATCTCACTCTGGTAGGCGTGCATTACTTAAATGCTTGGCACAACAAATGTTTCTGGGACCAAATTAAAACAGGTGTCTAAAATCTTCCATCTCAAGAAGTAGACAGCAGGGCAGGATTTCTGCTGTTGATTGCTGTTGAAGTTCAGCCCTTGGAAGAACTGAGGGTTTTTTTGAATCGCCAGCCATTTCTATTGTTGATAACCCTTGACAGCCTCACTCCATTGCCCACTAGACACCTCTCTGTTCTTGCTCCCACATCCACCAATTATGTGTTGGGACAATTTTGGTCTCTGAAGTAGATCAGAAATTGCCTGTAATTATTTTGGGGGAAAGAAGCAGGGCTGCTTGTCCAAAAGAGGAAGGGGTTGAATAAACCGGTCATTAATTTACAGTGTAATTTTATCAGTCCTAGGCATAAGTAGTATTATTTTGTTTTTCCAGACATTTTCAGTAATCATTCCACCAAAAAACCCCAAACCACAAAAGAAATCCAACCCCAAAATAACCACGCACACAAAAACCCACCCCAAATTAGACATCAAAACTGTCCATCTTTATTAAGAGGTGTGAGTTTGCAGACCTGAGATGCTCTCATATGCTGCGTGATCCCTTTCTTTCCCAGAGGAGATCACAGTGAGCTGGTGTCTGTAGAAGGCTTGATAGAAAAACTGGGTTAGTGAAAGGGATATGTGACACCTTCCTGTTGAGATTACCAGATTGAATCCAAATGTCCATGCTGTAAGCAGACTGCCAAATCCAACAGCGATGGTAGGCCCAGTACATTTCACAGTGGCTTAAGTGTCTGTATCACAGGAAAGAACCACTCAAAAGCAGCGCCAAGAGACAAAGCTATTTGCAATGCTGTCATTAAAAAAAACAAAACTTGAAGCTGCTCATTCTCTTTCTTGATGTCTGTAATTGTAGTGAGGAAATTGATTTTTGCTCTTGCTCATATGAGAGAACCTTGGGAAGAAAGATTTAAGTTACCAATCCATGAAAGTGTCTTTTGTCACCTTATACACATAAAAAAACCCAAAACATTTTAATGAAGAGGAAGAACCTTTCCATATTGAGATTAATAGTTATTAGAGAAATAAGTCCTTCCTATCAGGTGTAATAATGCAGCCTAGCTATATGTCTGCCTTCCTGTCTCTTTGAAAAAGAGAAGGTGGTGTCACATGGGTTGGGCATCAATATTTCCAAGCAACTACCATAAGTAGATGGGATTAATGTGTTGTGCAAGCGTGGTAATATCACTTCATACCCCAATGAGATGCTGCGAAGTAGCCAAGATCATTACTGCTGAATCCCAAGACTCCAAAGTCTTCCTTTGAGAGGAGGTGCTGCTTCAGAAGGGCTTGAACATACTGTGTCATAGATGAAAGAGGTTATGCTCAAAAAATGCAAACCCTGAAGCAACTTCTGCTGCACTAGAATTTAGTCGATGACACCAAAAATACTGCAAAAATATGGTACAAAAGTATCTCGGAGAAGAATTTAGAAGAAAATACATCTATGCTTGCAGAGTTCAAAATGATTCACTGTGTACATGGATTTTTCACTGGCTATCTTTTTTTCCTAGATTCCAGAATGTCAGGTTTCTTTAGGAAGAAAGGTCTTAATACAGTCTGAAAGTACCTCAATGCCTGAACATGTCAGCATAGTTTGGGGTAATCTTCTCTAATAGTTCTTGGCATGTTTTTTTCTCCAGACAAATGAGAGAAAATCTTCTGTATGATTTTAACCTAGACACATTCCCTTGATCTTAATGTAAAAGGGAACTTTAACAAACAAAATAACCTCAGTAATATTTTTAAATATTTATAAATAAACAAAACTCTGCTGTAGTCTTAAGTTACCAACTGTCTTTATGAAGGAAAATAACTACTAGTCCATTAGGATTCCCAGAAATTACTTGCAGGCCAAATATAGTTCTCAAGTTTAAATGGGTGATGGGCACCCTTGTTGTTGTGGGCTTTTCTCTCAAGCAGCTTTTCTGTTTTCTTGTAAAAGATTAGTTAGTTCCATGTGTCTGGGGTATTTTGTTGGTGTTTGTTTTTTTTTTTTTTGTTGGAGTGGAGTACTAACTCTCACATCAGAAATGTCATGAGCCACTGTGTATGACAGTGCTGCTTTTTTTTTTTCATCCCCAGAATGACTTCTGCACCCACATATAAGCACATGCAGCTTCCCTGGCAGATTTCTTTTAACAAAATGTACAGAAATCATCAGAGTCCCTCTGCCCATCAGCAGCAGTGCAGCTCTGCACAGAGGCCCTAGGAGGAGGCATCTTCAGTCTTTTTTATATCTCAGTGCACCAGCCTGGACCGCTTGCCAGCTGGTTGTGGAAGGTTAGCTGGCCTCAAGCCTTGCTGTGAGCCCAGCGGGACTCTCTCTCTTTGTCACAACTGCTGTGAGTGTTAAATGCTCAGCAAACAGCTAATCCACTGACGTACTTTGTGCCTCCATCTCCTGACAGTCTTCAAGGTATGTTAGGACCTTGACATCCAGATGTCAAAGCTGATGTCCAAGTACTGGAAGGAGAAAGTCCTTTAGTGCTGGAGCTAGATGGGAGAAGAGATGGCAGGTGCTGGTCTGCTCCTGGGGAAGAAAATCCATGGCTTGGGAGATGTGGTGAATTTTGAAACCAGCTCGTGCTTTTTTATCTTTCTAGTTCCATTTGCTTCTAGCCTCCCCACCCAGGAAGTGCAGGAGACCATTGCTATGTCGTCTGTTGCAGAGAAAGTAGGACCGTGGGGTCTTGCCTCACCATCTTGTAATTTGCTGGGGCTTTGGTGGGAGCTGGCACCTTTGGTATCACAGCCAGCCGGCTCCAAATTCCCCTTCTCCCCATTCACCCGAAGGCAGAGGGGAAGCTTATGGCTTGTTTTTATGAAATCACTCAGGGACAGTTCACTGTGATTTAGCAGTACACTATTGTTTCTGGTTATATGATGCAAGGTTGTTCTGGTCTCAATGCAGATTAAAGCCTTTAGATGGATTTGCTCCATTCTCATGAAGTCTTATATTCAATGAATGGCAACAGACTTGGAGGGTTAATTTACAATATATTTCCAGTAATGCTTGTTGCTTATTATACTAAAATAATTCAGAGCTAAAGCAGGGTGGGGGTTTTTTTTGCCTTGTAGTGAGATAACAGAAAGACTTTTTTATTTTATTTAAGCTTTAGCTTAAGTATTACTGCACTCCTTTTGAGGTTTTGTTTGGAATCTATCAGGACATAACTGATGAGAAGGGTAATGACTGCAGCACAGTGCTGTTGCTAGGAAGGGTGAAATGCTGTAGAGCTGCTTTGGCTTTCATCTAGTGCCATGGAGAGAACCATGTGCTGCACTGTATCACGGTAACTCTTCAAATGGCCTTACTCTCAGATAAACCCAAACAAAAGTGACCATGGTTGTTTCTTCTTGCCCCTTTTCCCTGCAGTATATTTGTCTTTCAAATAGCACCTTTCTTGTCAGCCAGAGGGACTTACTGGGCATCTTCAGAGAGCAAAATTCAGCATCTCATTCTGTACTTATCATCCATTAGTCAGCTGGCTGCACATAAAAGTTGTTTGGTCCCTCACTTCCATCCTATTTGTTTAACCCTTTGCTTGGGTGCTTGGGTAGCCTTTTGCTCTCCCGGGCATGTCAGCATCCCCCTGTGAATTCACACTGTTGGGGGGGGGGCATCCATGCCCTCATTCAGGGACTGATTTCTCACTGGCAGCAAAATTAGTGCAAACCTGATGGTATTTTTCTATTCCGTATGGCACCATGGAAGCATCATATGATTTAATAGGTATGGGACTTTAAAATAATAGCTGGGAGGAACATGGGAAATCTTTCCAATAAAGATTGTCCTACATCAGGGGCTTGCTTGTCCAAGCCCCACACAAGGCTCAATTAAATGCTTGGGTGAAGGGTGCACAGTGTACTGCATGGCATGATTGGTTTATCTCACTTCAAAAAGTATCTAACTTTCTCTCTATAGGTCACAGCGAAAGAACAGGAGTTTGCAGCTACAAGTGCGAAACAGTTGGAATATCAGCAGCTAGAGGAAGACAAGCTTTCTCAAAAATCTTCATCTAGCAAACTCTCCAAGTCTCCTCTAAAGATTGTCAAGAAACCGAAAAATATGCAATGCAAAGTGACACTCCTGGATGGATCGGAATATGCATGTGAAGTAGAGGTAAATGGCTTTTTGTCTTCTTTTTTTTCAACTGTCCAGAAGTAAATAGTGGAAATTATATTTCTAATTTAAGCAAAAGGATGAATGTCCTGATATTTTACCAGTGCCAAGCTCAGAGATGCTTTAGTTGTTTTTTCTGGACATTGAAGAAGGTGCACAGATTTGAGCTAGGTAAGGCATTCTGAGCCAGAGACTTTGGATTAATTTTTTGTTGGCACATGCCACATCAGAATGCAGAAAACAAATTATGGGCAACAAAGCCCATAAACAAAGAAGGATTTTGATCCCATTGGGCTTTTCTTTTCCTCAGTACTCTGCTGAGTTGAGACTTACATTGAGTCATTGTCCATGCAGTAATTCTGACTATTGTGAGATGAGTAAGGGCATGAGAGATGTCCTGGGTAAGTGGGGGAAATTTCAGGAGCAAATAACAGTGGGAGTGGAGAGTTTTGTGTGCTTATCCATGTCTGTGAATCATAACTGTGTCTGAATGTTACTGGCAGAAAGATGCTGTGATTTTTCTGTAAGGAAACTTGCTTTCCCTCCTGAGACTCTGACAGAAGCCTACTTTTGGGACAAGTGTGCTCTTACTTAGGAGCCAGTCTGTGCCAGGGGGCAAGACCCATGCTAAGAGGATACCTTGCCTTGAACTCCAGAAGGTCCCAGAAAAGCAGAAAGTGAGCACATTGATTGCCTCAGAGTAAGCATGACAAAATTCAGCATTTCAGAGTTGACCCATTTCTCCATTCAGTTGTTGTCAACAAGATGATTTTTGGACAGTGGACTAGCCTGTCCTGAACCTGCTTCGGGTCAGGAGGTCATGCATGCAACGCAGGGCTGATCCCTGGCTGAGCAGCGGATAGTAGAGGAAGGATGTGTGTTGGAGGGCTTGGCAAAGCCAACCCTTCTTTGGGTAACCTCAGAGTGCCATGGAAAAGAAAAGTCACCTGGGGAGAACAGGAGAGTATAAAGGCAGAGATTAAATAGTCTCCAGTCTTGAAAGGGGAATCCAAAGGAGCATGGAGAAGGAGAGAGAGTGGAGGAAAAAGTACTGACTGGGAGCCAAATCACGACATCTTTACAATCAGGTTGTGCTTGGCCCTCATGTCTGTCAGCTGCTCTCCTTTTAAGTGCTTTGGAAAATGGCATGTGAGGAAAAGCCTTATTGGTTTTTATTTAACCCTGACTTTGCAGTTTGGGCCACATTTTGCTATGGTATGAGTGAGTTGCGAACAGAAGCTGGTATTTTACTACTCTTACAACAACTTGGCAGTCCATGCTGTTGAGTATCTTTTAATTTCACTGGTTGAGTCCTCTGTTGTTTCCTTCAGTCTAGGACTAGCTGTTTGGCCACATACCTTGTGACTATTAAATGGTCATTTCTTGACCTGCAGTCTCAGTTTGGTCTCTCAAGGATAGCATGTGAGCCATTAAGCTGGAAGAATGACTCATACTGGCTTTGATGTAAAGAGTCAAACTTGTTTCAGCTCTTGCCACTTGCTTGTAAAATGTGAGTCACTTTTTGGAATATAATCAAGCAAATTTTACCAAATAGGATTTCTATCGAAATCTTGTAGCAGGCTGAGCTTTATTGGAATCTAAGATGGTGCAGAAAGAGAGATTTGTTATGTCAGGTTTCCAGTTATGCAAAAAAATGTGAATAATAATTTCTGATAGGAAGTTGCACTCTTCCACTAAACTTGAGCTCTGTTGGAGTTGAAGTGTCAAAATGCTAGCATATGCAAGCCATCATGTTTTATTGCTTGTGAAATTTCTCTACTCTGCAGGTTCTGAATAGCTCTTGAATAATGTCCAGTATAAATTTTGTGTGCATTTTTCTACTTACATTGCTGAAATATGTTGAAGTTGTATTGACTGTCATCAGTAATCATTTTATCTGCTTCTACGATGATCAGGCTGCCTAGGCAGGATGTAATATTGATGAGAATATAGCTCCTAAAAGGATGAATCCTCAAATGACAAAGCTGTAAGGCTATAATGATGAGCAGACTGTTGAAACAGAAGTTAGTTAGAAGGAACAAATATTTCAGGGAACAAGTGCAGCTGGAGTGACCTATGCATTTACTTGCCTTAAATGGGCAATTCAGACTTTGCATCCTTCCTAGGTGGTATTGTCAGTATGTTGTGTGTATGGAGGATGCAACTGCGGGTACCTCTCTGGCGCAGCCCACTCCAGCCCATCAGAACATTTTGTAGATCCCCAGGGGAGTCTACTTTCCATGTGCATAAAGTTTAGCTACAGCAAAAGGATGCTGAGTCCAGCCAAGAGAAATTCTGTGACTTTCACTGTGCTTTTTCTCCTGAGGAGAAAAAAGTATATACAAAGGGAGTTAGTAGGGCAGGGAAACTGAGGGTCTGTCTCAGCAGACATCTCAGGAAATCATGTAGGAGGCTGAAGGTGAAGTTCTCCTACAAGAATTTTGGATAATAACAAAGTTTTGTGGCTGTTTCACAGAAACTCAGTGCTGCAGCATGAGAAATAAATCTGTCATGTTTCAGAAAAATACTGTCATATTTGCAGGCTTACCTACAAGTGAACTCACTGTATCAACTTAAATGGGGAAAAAAACCCTATACATGCACATCTCTCTCTCTATATATAGATAGATATATGAAGTATACTGAGACACCCAACAAGTTATGGAGGTCAGTAAATTCCCCAAGATTAATTCTTTAAAGGAAAGGTGAGAGGGGCAGACAACACATGGCAATCAGATATTTAATACTTCCATTCCTTGTGTTCAACCCACTCAGCTGCATCTTTTGGAGTGGACAGTGACCCAGGGTAAGAATGTGACAGTTGGTGAATGTGAGTCAGAAATGTCATCCTATGTTGTCAGCTCCTGTCTTTCAGCTCTGTGTGTATCATGCTTCTATCTACTGAAGGCTGCAAAGCAATGTAATCTAGAAGGACCAGAACCTTAGAAACCTAATTTTGAGCTAGAATTATAGCTCTGTCAGTGAATCTTGGTTTGGATGCAGGCCAGGTATTTATCTCTTCAGAACTGCATTCCCTAGTCTGGGAGTTGGGGATCATTATAGAATCCATCAGTTACTCTACAGAGCGGTTTGCAAATGACAAATGCTTTTTATATATGTTAAATATTAATGTCATTTAAAGGAGCTTATTGCTCTCCAGTAGAGTGCAGCCTGCAGCTTATCAATTATGTGTTCATCCAGTTAATGACCTGGCAGCCGACGTGGCACATAGTCTCAGATTGAAACACTTCTGAGGCGGGTTTGGTTAATCCATTATCCTCTTGGTGTCCTTTGTTTCAGAAGCTCCTCTTTATTGTTCCATATTTAATTCTGAGCCTCTTTGCTGCTTTCTACTGTATCTTTCAGTCTCTCTCACATTTAGTGCTTTGCATTTGTGACACTGGGAGTTTTCATATTGTATGAGATGTATCTAAAGGGAAAATGTAGAGGAACTAACTTAAAAGCTGAGGTTAACAGGGGTTCGTCTAATGTGGTATCTGTTCAGTGAAAGGATCTTAAGCAAATGCCAGGTAAAATCCTTCCCTTGAGGCTCTGCAATGTTACTGCCTGTGTGCTCTATCTGTCCTGACCCAGAAAGTCTTTCATGCAGTAAGACATTACAAGCCAAAACCAGGTTAAGTAGGTAACCCAAACCTGTTCATTCATCCTCCTCCAAAACCATAAACCACCAGTGCTACCATCTCTACCCTTCCTGCTGTTCTTGTCCAGAAGCCTTCAGATGGTAGTGGCAGCCTTATTTCGGAGAGGGGTTTCCTTTTAGAGGTGGGATGGCCACCTAATGGTGCCTCCCTTTCCCAGGGAAGGCTGTTGGCTTCTGGAGAAGAGATATTTGCTGTACACAGACATTTCCCCAGTACTCTGTTAAAGAAGAACAACCTCAGGGTGGCTGCGTGTTTCTCCAGTGTTGTGAGCAAGCTGGAGCACTCAGTCACAGGAGTTGACACAGTCTACTCAGAGGAATACCGAGTGGTGGTATCCACCTAAATGTCCACCCCTGCTGCAAGTGGTTCTCCTTGGCCTCTTCACTGTCCTCTCTCAGCCAGCATCAGGCTCAGAAATGTCGACTGTCAAAGAGGCCATAGCTGTGGTCTAAGCTACACTGCAAAAATTTAGCTGAAGACTTCTGTGTTAAGCAAGCTAGACCTGTGCTTTGCATTTTTTTGTTTGAAGAACCAAAGATAAAGCAAGATCAAAGACTGCTAAAACCTTAGAAAAGACAATGAACAGACTAGTTCAAGTTTTTTCTAAGGTACAAAAAACCAAGCAAAGTAACTTATTTCTGGGTTTCATCAGCTTTAAGTAGGGATACAGTTATGCTTTTTCTGGGATTTATTTCCCTCCTTGTTCCACTCTGCCCCATTTCAATTTTCTGTTATCTAGACTACTGCATTTTAATTAAAAGATGCAAGTGGAACCAGCTGTTATGCTCTCCATGACACATAGCCTAATTTAAAGTGTCTTCCTAAAACAAGTTGGAATTTGTATTTGTTTCTGCTCTAAACATGTACATGTTATTATTCACGAAGTGAGATCAGAAATCTATAACATAATCTGTCTAAATGGTAAAACGGTAAAATAATGAGATTTCTTTTTGGTAGGCTCAGCTGTCTGAGCCCATTGGTAATTTATACTCTTTCGTCATTCCTGTACCGCTCAGACTTTCTTATTGTGCAGACCACCAGTAAATTAAAACAAATGTTTCCATGGCAGCCTGTCTGTGGCATCTCTGCAGCCCTACATCAAGCAGTGAGTTGACGCAGGATTTTGATAAGCTGCAGAGCACATGGAAAGCTGACATCTCACAAAGCATTACTGCTACCCCCACGTATGGGTGAGTGGAGGTCAGCTGAGGTAGGAGGGGACTGGCAAAAATACACTATTTATGTTTGGTTGTTGGGTTTTTTTCCTCAAATTTTCTCAGTCGCACTGCCACTGGGATCTGGGCAGTGGTTGGGTGTCCCATGCTGTAGCCGCTGCTA